TTCCGTTTCTTTTTTAAACTCCTCCCATTTTTTTTAGTTTCATTCACAAATATAAATTCTGCTTCACCTACGAATAATCCTCAGCAACCAATACAAATCATAGAAAACTTCGAAAAGATAAAAACACGCCTCCAACCAATCCTCATTTTCACTTCTCTTTTATTTCTTCTCACTTTTCATCTCAACTTTTTAAAACACTATCGCCTTCACTTCATTTTTCATTTCTCTTTTCTCACGTTCGTTTCTCTATTTTTTCTCTCTTTCAATCTTTAAAAAAAAACTATACTCCCACAGCCCACTTTACTATGCTATATAGTTACTATTTTTTATCGTTAATTTCCAGTAGTCTTTTCTGATTTCGTTTTTTTATCTTTTCTTTTTGTTGCTTCTTTTTTTAGACAATGAATGAGCAGTCCGCTAAAATTCCTCTTTTCATTTCTCTTATCTATCTATCTATCTATCTATCTATCTATCTATCTATCTATCTATCTATCCTTCCTTTTTTATCCTTTATCTCCCTTATTTTGTTATTTTTTTCATCAGTAATATCTTTTTATTTATTTCTCTTCTTTTTGCCTTGCACTCTCTCTCCACATATGCGTACACGTTTTTCATTTTCTCTATCAAATATATACTTACTTTCTTCCTTTCATTCAATTGCTTATTTACCTCCTTTTTTTCTTTCTTTCTTCTTATCTTTTGCTCCTCATTTTCATTTCTTTCCTATTTCTCTTTCCTTTTCTTTTCACTCCTCCCCTTTCTTTTTCTTCCCCCTTCTTATCTTTACTCCTCATCTTTCTTATTTTCTTTCCCACTCATCATTTTCTTACCTCTCTTCCCCTTCTTTATTATTTTTTCTCCTCCTTTTCCTTCTTCTTTCCTCTCCCTGTTTCTTCTTTTATCTCCTCCTCTCTTTCTTCTTTACTACTTTTTACTTTCCACCTTCATTCAGTTCTCCTTTTCTTTCACCCTTTTTTTTCTTTTCTTTCCTCCTCATCTTTCACATTAGCTCCTCCCTATTTCGTTTTCATAAGCTTTGCACCCACCCACATTCAATTAACACACTTTCCAAAAACTCTCCAGACCCCACCAATGTCCTTTTAGCAGTGCACCATCACCATCACTATCACCATGGTGATATTACTGTGTCCACTAACTCTGAAACAACACAGCTGCCACTAGCAAATTACCTACACACAATTGGTTATATCAGTTTCATCACCTACACCCACCACCGCTACCACTGCCACCATCATCACCTCACAATGTTTATACTACTTTCCCCACCCCAGAAAACATATAGATTCAGATACACATTTATATAGATATTTATAGATATACATTTATATACAGAATGCAAGGCGTCTCCAAGACCATCCTACAAGGAATGGTACAAGGAGAAGGGGACAGCAAAGAAAGATATGGTTGGACACTGATGTGGAATGGACCTAGACTGGCAAAAGTTTTGGCCAGACTAAGGCACTGGCCAATGACCAGATCAAGTGGCGATTTCTTGTTGAGCAAGCTGTGCCATTACGACTCTGGAAAATTATGGGACAAGAAGGCAAAAAAAGAATACATTTATAAAACCCATTATTATATATACATAAAAAAGATTTGCTAATATATTTACAGCACATTAGTTTTAATGTTAAGAAGATTATATCTGCTTAATTATGTGAACAAGAGTAACCAGGATAAATTTATATTTTATACACATAATATAAAACACAAAGAGACACTATTTATTTATCAGTCACACAGCCTGATTGCTTATATTTAGTAATGAGATATTCTGTTGTTAACAGGAGTCATTACACCAGGCCTCAAACATGCTTCAAATTATTACATAAAGAAATATTTCATGAATAAGTATTGGAAACATATTGCTTTTTACTTCTTTTGTATTGTCCCAACTTTCTTTGGATCTCTTTACTTTCAAAAATTTAAAAATAATTTTCTTTCGTACATATAAAAATAGAATTTGTTATATAAATAAAAATCCTACATTACTAATGCAAAGAATATAACCACTATCATTTTTCTTTTTTATTTGCTGTTTCCCTTCAGGAAGGAGGAAATCATGGCCCTCCACATTTTACTAACAATTGTATCTCCTAATAAGTTTTGTCTTTTTGCGATTTCTTCAAAACCATAATCTACCAATCCATTTACCCAAGCTCATCAAGTATATTCTGCACTGATTTCTTCTGACGCTCAATCTGTTCTGCGAATATCAAATTTTCCAAGTCCTACTTCCTCATTACTTGGACAAGAACTTACAACTGACTCTTACTGATAAGTTTCCGTTTTGTTGTCACTTTTTATAAAAAATTGATCACATGTTCAGTCGGTGGTATCATCAGCATCTTTCTATAGAACCAAAATTCTGTAGCTTCAAATCACTTTTTTTTGAGTAGATTGACCAGCGTTCACTGCAGTATAAGAATACAGACTCTTTTCCTATATGTATGTATATATATATATATATATATATATATATATATATATATATATATATATATATATATATATATCTGTATATATATATATATATATATATATATATATATATATATATAATACAAAAAAAATACATATATGTATATTACCATATATATATATATTAACATGTATATATATATATAACCATATATATGTATATAACCATATATATATTTTGCTATATATATATATATTTTTGTATATCACCATATATATGTATATAACCATATATATATTTTGCTAGATATATATATATATATATTTGTATATCACCATATATATGTATATAACCATATATATATTTTTGCTATATATATATATATATATATTTGTATATCACCATATATGTATATAACCATATATATATTTTTATATATATATATATATATATTTGTATATCACCATATATATGTATATAACCATATATATATTTTGGCATATATATATATATCTATTTGTATATCACCATATATATGTCTATTACTATATATATATGTATATCTTACCCATATATATATATATATATATATATATATGTATTACCAAATAGATATATGTATATTACCATATATATATATATATATTATTACCATATATATGTATATAACCATACATATATATATATGTGTGTGTGTGTGTGTATATATATATATATATATATATATATATATATATATATATATATATATATATACCATATATATAACTTATATTATCATATATATATATATATATATATATATATATATATATATATATATATATATATATTTGTATATTACCTATATATATATATATATATATTTTTATATATATATATATATATATATATATATATATATATATACATACATATGTGTGTGTGTGTAATCCCTACTTTTACTCCATATGTGGCCTCCTTTGTAAATCACTAGCGGGTCTTAAATGCCACTTAAGATTATCGCACAAAATTTCATAACTGAATCAACTAAGCTGTCAGATCCTGATACCTCGAAAACCGACAGGAATGTCCATTATTATTATATATATATGTATATATATATATATATATATATATATATATATATATATATATATATATATATATATATATATATATATATATATAAATAAAATAGTGAACAGTCTGTTTCATGATATATATGATATCGTCAGACCTGATATATTGCATATCGTGGCCTGACGATTGCATATAGCATGAAACAGACTGTCGCCTCTAAGTGTTGACTTCTATATTCACTTTTATATTTACACATGCTCTATCTCTGATATTGAGCACTTTATCCCATAAATATAGCACACCTTAAGACTATATTCCTTCATATATATATATATATATATATATATAGATAGATAGATAGATAGATAGATAGATAGATAGATATATATATATATATTATATATATAGAGGTGTTATCATCCTCTGCTGATAAACCTGAATGCTTTGCCCATAAATTCTCCTCAAACTCTATTTTTGAACCATCAGGTGTATCCCTGTCTAACTTCTCACTTAGAACTGATTGTCTATTGAGTGATATGCATATAACCCCTTCCATGGTTTCTGCTATCAACTCTAACCTTGATTCCCACAAAGCATCCCTGTAATAGTCATTAAGAAGCATGCTCCCGAACTGGCTCCTGTTCTCTCTAAACTGTATAATAAATGACCTATTGCCTCCTGATTTCCTGCTTGCTGGAATTCACTGTCTGTTTTTCCAGTTTTTAAGAACACTGGTGAACTGTCTGACCCATCTATCTATTGGCCTATTAGCCTTCTGCCTCTTTTGAGAAACTCTTAGAAGCCCTAATCAATGCTGAATTGGTTCATTATCTCTTATCACAGGGCCTTTTCTCAGACAAGCAATACAGCTTTCATTTCTCCAGAACAAATCTCAGGCACATTTTTGAGCTGATCCAGTTATTTCTATCAAATCATGAAATGAAATTTGTCCTGAACAGCGACTCATCTGCATCCTTTTGCACTAACATGGGTGTCCACCAGGGCTCCATTCTTGGTCCTACACTGTTTTTAATCTTCATTAACAACCTTCCTGTTGACATAAGCTCTCAACTTGGCATCTACGCTGATGACAGTACCATTTACTCCTGCCTCGATAGTAAGGCTGATCAGTCAGACAAGGTCAAAATGGCAGCTGGTGTACAAAATGACTTCAAGACCATCATTAAATGGGAAAAAGATGGCTTGTCAATTTTAACACCTCCAAAACTAAACTACTTTCCATTAATCATCTAAGACACCCTTCTCTGTCTTCCACCAGCAGGGCTGATGCTATCCTCCAAGAAAGTGACTACATTGAATCCATCGCTAGATCAACTGCTAATAAAGTTGGTTCACTGTGTCAGGCGAGACAATTTTTCTCTCCGGAATCTATCTTGTATATCTATAAGTCTACCATTCATCCATGCTGCCTGATATACATGGTCTGGTACCCCTGCTTTTTTTCTGGAATTTCTTGATAACATCCAAAGAAGAATCAGTAATATTAATATAATCTGGCAGCTCAGCTTCAATCACTTGCCCACCACTATAAGGTTTTCTCAGTATTTTTTTGTAAATACTTTCATGGTAATTGTTCAGATGAGGTCTTTGCTATGATACCTAGACTGTATGAATTTAATACTGGACTGGTGGTAAGATCTTATCAGTTTACAGCTGAGCTAGCTAGATGTAGCCAGAACTTCTATGCTAACATTTTCTCACTTGTGGAACTCCCTCCTGGCTCCATGCTTTCATACCAACTTTGATCTTCAAAAATCTAAATGCAATGTCAATCATTATCTACTGTCTTCCTGATTGCTCTATTCTCTTTCTCATTATTACTAATATTTCTGTTCCTAATTCCTTCACACCCTGTAACCCCTTGCATACTAGTGGCTGTACTGCCTTGTTTGGGAGGGGGGGATACTGATTAAAAAAAAATCCTAACTTTTTACTTTCTACTGTTACATTCATATCACACAGCCAGTTCAGTAACATTCTACCTTGAGTAGCTCTTGAGCCTTGTATTGGGTGAATATTAGAGAAATAAAAAAAACATGGAGGAATTCAATGAGGTATCTCTGCTTTGCAAGCATTTTAATTTCTGATACCATTTTCTAACATGACAAAAAATGGGTTATTGGGAGGAAGGTTCAAACTTCCATGTTTATATAAATTTAATTTTTTCTCATCAGAATCCATCTTGGACATTTATAAATCTACCATCCACCCATGCATTGAAAATATTACTGTTGTATCTGGTCTGCTGCTCTGGCTATATATCTCAAAAGTTTTGACTCTTTCAAAGAAGGGTCTGTAATCTTATCAGTCCTGAGCTGTCATCTTGATTTGAGTCATGATCCTACCACCATGTATTTTCCATAAATATTTTCATGGCAGTTGTTCTAATGGACTCTCCTTCTTGGTTCTGTGAATGTAAGCATTGTACTAGATTGGCAACTTGGTCTAATCATTTTACAGTTGAAATAGATGTAGCCATATGTTCTATTTTAATAGTTGCTTTTCTCATACTTCTTGCCTGTGGAATTTTCTTCCAGTTTCTTGGTTCTGTGCCATTTACAATCTTCAAAAATGTAAATGCAAAAACAATTGCCATCGTCTGTCTTACTGAATACTGTTCTTTTATTGTCCTTTCTACCATCTAAAGTCTTCTCATTCTCTTTTACTCCCATTAAGCCCTTGCATCTTAGTGGCATTATCATCTTGCTTGGGGTGATTAAAAATAAAAAAAATAAATTTGAAACACTGTAAGCATGCTGCAGAGAGATGTATTTAAAAATAATAAACATGTCACGTCAAGTAAGCATCTTTCTTGGGCACAAGGAAATTGGCAGAAATAATTTGTATTCGTGCTTGTATTTAGTACATAGGAATATGAAAATTGTGCATATCCCACAACATGTATGATTTCATTTTTTCAAGATATATGTGTATGTACATATACCCATACTTGGGAGAATGTGATATATAAACTCTATATATCAGACTAGTTGTGTGTAATTAAATGACAAACTGGAAAGAATTCTATCAATCACATTTTAACCTTTAAAAGAATTTCATTAAAGTAAAATAATGTTCTTATTGAATGTTGTAATATCATTACTTAAAGGCATCCCTCTCTCGTATGTCGAGTAATACAAGTAAACAATTCCTAATTGTCTGTATTTACACACCTGGGGCCATATTTGATCTGACCTGTGTTGTGAACAGTACACATTCTGTCCCTGTTGTCCTTAAACTGTTTTGGCCTTGATGAGTGTCTCTATTTTGTAACTATACAAAACTTCACCCATCATTGAAGAAATGTCCATTTTACCATTGTTGCTAATATGAAAGCACTGCCAATGTATCCCATCCAGCATGTGAAGCAATTATCCGAAAAGATTTTCCAGTCTCTTGAATCAACCCATCTTTAGTAGCTGAATGAAAAGAGCAGATGTGCATCTATATTTGCACTGGGCTCATTCCAGACACTGAACCTTATTGCAGCCTGTGTCACCAATGAAGACTTTGGAAATGTTATCAGAATATCTGCTACTACCCATCAGCATGAACATACTGAATCCAGACCAAACTTGGCATCATCTGTCAGAGTGTTACATTTTTCTTTTCTTTTCTATTCTTTCTTTCTATTCTTTCTTTCTATCTATCTATCTATCTATCTATCTATCTATCTATCTATCTATCTATCTATCTATCTATCTATCTAAATCTGTTTGTCTATCCTCTTCATTATTTATTTCTCTTCTTCATTATCTATCTATCTATTATATGTTTGTGTACTCCATTTAACTGCCATGTATGATTAATAGTTAGGATGATACATCTGTCATTAGAAATGGTACCCCAAAATGGAAATTACTTATGACTCAACCCATTTAACTCTTATCTATCTATCTATCTATCTATCTATCTATCTATCTATCTATCTATCTATCTATCTATCTTCTTCATTATCTATTATTGAGTCATAAGTAATTTTCTATTTTGGGAAACAATTGTAATAACAAATGTATCAACTTAACTACTATTCATATCTGGCAGTTCAGAAAGAAAGAGGGAGAAAGATAAATTTTTGGAATCACCAGTTTATTATTTATTCCTGAAAACGCTGTGAAACATTAAATTCATATTTATTTGTCCTGCAGAATTGTGGAATTTTACTCAAAAGCTATCAAAAAGCTGGAAACATATCCTTGCAAATAAAGACAAACATATCATTGAATAAAATGTAATTGTACTTTATTTTTTGAAGAATAAAGTTGATAAAAAAATGGAAATTATTTATAATTCAACCTAATAAATATATTGAGTTCAACTCAAATTTGCTGAAATTCAATTTGCAATATTGGATTGATTGATTTATACTAGTTTCCCTGTATCAGGTTTTTTGAGACTGATACAGGGAAAGTTACATTTACATGGTCAGTTACAATTGGTAATATTTGCTGGATTTTAACACACACACACACACATATGTGAATATATACATATACAGAGTATCAAAGTAAAATTTTCAGTAAAATTTAAACTAAGATATTTCACCAGCCATTATATGATATGTGAAACCAAATGCTGAACAAAGACAACATGGTCAACTATTTTTGAGAAGTGGTTCAAGGCATTCAAAAACTTTGTGGTCAGGTGCTGAACAGCTCTTTGAGGTTGCATTGAAGCTGTCATTGAAAATAATGGGGTCCACATACAATAGATGATTCATTTTGATATTTCAGTTTTATTAATATCTTTTTTTTATTAACAGGTCTACTTATAGATAATAACTGAGTTTTGAATGTCACAGCAATTTTGCAAGTTTGGTTTTCCCCGCATAGAATATATATATATATATATATATATATATATATATAGTGTATATGGGCAGCAATCCTTCTTTTATGCATGTTTCATTGAATATGATAGACAAGAAGTTTTTATTCTCTCCACACACACAAACACACACAGTTTAATATTTTCTATATCTATAAAGGAAGAATACTCAGTATCAGAGAAAGAGCATTTATACATATAGACAGTGTAGACATAGAAATCAAGACCTGTCAGTGTCATGTTTCAAGTGACCCTAGTCACTTTAAGAGCTACAAATGACAGGAAGCTGTGGAGGGTGATGATCACCCACATCCTAGCACATAAAAGAATAATTCATGAATAATAATATTTACTAAACTAACTTTTGTATAGTATTTACATTAGTCGGACTATTGTCCTCATCTTTGTCGCCATATTTGTCACAACATTTCGGCCGTTGTACGCTCCGGCCTTCTTCAGGTGGTTGGAATTTCGAACTGAACCCTTTATTTCGATCGCTGGGGTAGACTGTTCTAATTCCACGTGCCATGTTTGATGGATGTCAGTTATGTCTGCCTGCCTTATGTGAAGGGGTTATCAGAGAAAATACAAAAGATCTGCGGTCCATATAACATCAGGACAACCTTCAAAAGCGTGACAATACTGCAGGTATCTCTCACGAGTGAGACCCCCATAGAGAGGAACATGACTAAAGACTGTGTGTACGCTATCCCATGCAGCTGCGGAAAGGAATATAAAGGAGAGACAGGCCGCCCCCCTCAAGGTAAGGCTTCAAGAACACCAGAAAGCTGTAACACGAGGGGAAGTAGAAAAAAAATCAGGCGTGGCTGACCACATATGGAGAGAGAAGGAGATCACCGCCCCTGTGGGATCATGTTGAGATCATAGACAGGGAACACCATTGGAAAATTCGTAAACTTAAGGAATCAGCACATATGCTAGGCCACAAAAATCTCCTGAGCCGACCAAGCATAGAAATAAATACAATATGGGAACCAGTAATAAGGAGTACCAGAGAAAAGCAATGATAACAAAGTTGCAATATGAACTCTGGTAAAGACATGCAATGATAACAGCAAAATTGCAATATGAGCACTGGTAAAATGATGCTGAAAACATTAGGTTTATAATACTCAGAAGTTCATACCCAGATGTCCTCAAGGACACATGGCACAGTGGATAAAGGCGTTGGTTAGATCCAGTGACAGACCCAAAGAAGGTGAGTTCAATTCCTGGTTAAGGCAGTGGAGAACTTTCAGAAAAATTAGTAGGAGATAACTGATAACTGACATCCATCAAACATGGCACGTGGAATTAGAACAGTCTACCCCAGCGATCGAAATAAAGGGTTCAGTTCGAATTTCCAACCACCTGAAGAAGGCCGGAGCGTACAACGGCCGAAACGTTGTGACAAATATGGCGACAAAGATGAGGACAATAGTCCGACTAATGTAAATACTGTACATAATACCTCATCTCAGAAATATAGACAGGTCAAGTAACATGAACTATCCATATTGTCTTGAAAATCAGTATTTTAGATCCTCTTTTTACCTGAATGAGAATGCTAGTCACTTGTGTCAATAGGAAAATATGCAAAATTAATATTATTTTGACTATTCACAAGATTTCCCTTCCGAGACTATGTTCGGCACATATACAAGAAAGATGTGGGTACCTCGAGGCAGTGTAATGATTAGCAAGCTTGTCTTGTTAAAACAATTATGACTTAGTAGTGAGTTTGATCCTCACTGGATGCCCCCTACTTTCGGCCTTGTGCCACATCTAAGCTATGCTTGGAAAATCACTATACAAGCACAGATGTAAAGAGATGGGCACTGATCATTTTGCATTCCCTCCCACATCCTAAACAAATCTACTAATTGAAAACAACATTTCTGTTTTTTCTTCAGAGTCCAATGTACTGATGATCAAGGGGTTTATAACATAGGTATTCATAGTTGTGATGAGAAAGATTTTGCACAAAAATATCAATATTCTCTGTCAGGTGTTCCAAGAAGAAGGTCTCAAGATAAACCTTTCCAAAACAGAAACTATGAACTGCAGTTGGAAGGGAAGCAGTGATAGCACCTACCCTGAATCCAGTGTAATGATTCACGATGTGGAATTAAACACTTCAAATACCTTGATGTATGAATCTATTATAACTTTATCAGACAAGGAGAACATTGAATAAGCAGTACCAGAGGTACTTTTGTTCAACACCTTCAATTGGTACAAAGCTAAAACAATAACAAAAATTGTTTTCTGAAATAGCCTTGTCAGATGAAGACTTTTATCTGGATGCTGTGTATAGCACCAAAGTTGTTCAGAAATATCTAATTTATCAGCTGTATACAACCACTTTTTATGATCAATCATTAAAAATGGCTTTGAGTAAATGAAACATGGAGGTCTTAGCAAGGATCATTCTTATCTGAACCTTGCAGACAGAATCTGTACCAAATAACACCACTTGAGAACTTCCAACAGCAACAACAACTAAAATAGATATCACATGTAACTTTAAGAGAAAATAATGACATAATCAAGATGTTTACATTCTACAGTACTTCAAACAAAAGGTTAGGAAGAAATTTTCAACACATGAAAAGAGCAATAACAGTGGATGAAGAAACCTATTTTCCTGAAAAATTGTTTTAAGAGAAAGATTTTATTAATTTCAACCAGAAGTTGCACGACCTGCTTGCTCAATGAATGCCAAATGTTTTCATATAAGGAAAACAGCTAATATGTTTCCATGTAATGAAAATGGCTAATATGTTTCCAAATGTTTTCATATAAGAAAATGGCTGATATTACAATTACCATTATTTTTTTTTATTCCTGTAGATTCTTTGTGGGGGTACAGGGCCACAAAAATAGCAAGTGATGTTGCTGTAGTTTCAGTAGCAAGTAATTTTTCATGACACTTAGTTGCCAGCCAAACATCCAAAGCTAAAGGGTTCTACTCTGCTATTTATTCATCACTCAAAGTGAAATTATGGCCTTTCCAAGGGGTTTAGTATAAAGTGAATGTACACTGTTCCATCTGGAGTTTAAATTCAGTTTGCTAATTTTCCTTCTGTGATTTTAACTATTAAGCCAGTCATATCTCCATAAAAATTCTGGTAGTTTTGTAAAATCTGTAATACCCAGAACTATGAATATAGGCATTTTTAAATATGAATCACTATCAGCCTGCTAAATAGTCAGTAACTACATATTCATATCTATCAATGTCATTAACTTTTCTTTTTTCTTCTATCAATCTACATATTTTATCTGTGCATCAAGCATTATTATAGATCAATGTAATTTAATATATGTTTTAGCTAATGTTTTGTTTTTGAGAGTAGAATGCAAAGAATGTATAATATCAAATGACATTTACAATGAATGAACTTTTGACAACTTAAATCCTGTGAGAACCTGAAAGACTTAATGAGACCTGGGAGTCATCTTCTGGGTCAAATACTTGGGAACATGATAATGAATATGGTAGTTGCATTAAAATGTCCTCAGAACTTAAGGGTCATTTGCTATTTGATAAACTTTCAGTGTGACTACCCTGTCTTGAATTTATTAACTAAAATTAATTTATTTGCCAGAGTATTTCTGAAATGAATAAAAATTGTAGATTATAGTTTTGTGGGAATTAATATATAGGAAAAAAGATGCAGGTAATAAAACTAGGAAATAATGAATTTTGAGATTCTATACTTTGGTAAAACATTGAATCTCTAAGCAAGATAGAGGTCATTTTTTTTTCTATATTTTTTTCCTTCTTTTACAATAGTTAATTGCAGGGATTCATTTACCAGATGCATACATTTTGTATTGTTCATCTTTTATGTACTGTGTTCCTTCAGGATCATGATTCTCCACAACTTCCTATCCTTTGTAGCACTTAATAATGTTTGTCTTATTACTATCCCTCTTTCTTTCTGTTTTACATTCCTTAACACAAGTCTGGTAGGTCATCTAATCTTTCCCTTCTGTCTGTCAGTATGTTCTATAAGTGTTAAGTTCTCCAAACCCTCTTTCCTTATTATGTATCCTAGAAATTTCAACTATTTCTTTATGATTCTAAGTATAAATATCTTTTTTGATTCCATTTTTTGTAAAACTTCCTTGTTGATTACAT